TGCTGGATGGAGAGCGGGGGGGGGGGGAGAGAGAGAGAGAGAGAGAGAGAGAGAGAGAGAGAGCAATTTGTTCTAAGAAGAGACTATAAACCCACCAGCCACCATGACATATCTCTACCAGCCAGGAAGTATCCCCGGGCAGTCCCTCTGTTGGACTTCACTGTGGACTGAAATATACAGCGAGAAATCTGTAATACTTGTAATATCATGAAATCCAAATTGACTCCATTAAAGTATCAAATACGGGCCAAAATTCTGTGATATCCTCATTAACACAGACAATATTGAAGTACTGCAAATAAAAGAATGGTATTGTTATTATTAACTATTATATTACTATATAACTAGTATATGAAGATTCTGAAGAAACAAAATGGAAAAATAACCAGAAATATTTAGCTCGGCTTGAGTCCTTTTTTCTTTGGACTTGCGACCGCATTTTTCCTAGCACTCTAACACAATCTAACAAAATACTATGCTTCAAAATGTAAGATTCAGTTGAAAGTGGTGTATGAAACTGATGATGCCTTTCAAATCATAAAACCCGTTCTCCAAGCTGTCACTATCCCAGTGTCCTTAAAAAGGTTGAATTCTTAAGAAAAAGAACACACGCATGTTTGTACATATACAGTGTAGTTACTCTCTTTTGATGAAATGATTATCAGTTGTAAGTATTTTTAAACTGAAGTGACAAAACAGTTATATTATAACTGTATAACCCCTTAACATACATATACAGGTATAACTGGGTTCAGACATTAATAATATACACGTATACACGTATATTGTCAAACTTGTCAGTCTAGTCAGGTACATTGACCATGCCAGAGTTGAAAATTGATGTCACGTCTTCAAGATGATTATGCTCATACATGTAGTGTATGCAGATTCGTGGGTTAATTCTTGAATGATTGAATTGGCGATCATTTAGATCCACTATAGAGACCCGATAAATTGTATTCAGGTGTACTGCACAGCTTGTGTTGTACGATATTTTATGTATACAGCTAGGTGTAGCGTTCTTGGCGAAAATATCCTATTAGACTCTATAGAAACACTATAGGAATCCTACAGGACTTTAGAAGGATTCTATCGGTCGTATATGTAAGATTTCTATCTAGGACATGTGCCCTATAAGACCCATAGGATTTGGGGCCAATGTCTTATAGAATCAGATAAGGCAATATATGACATTAACTAAGGAGGCCTGTAGGGAATTTCCGTAAGGGTTTGTATTCTGCTAGCACAGAGTTGTATTTTACTGCGGATGAACACGCAATGAAAAAAATGATAAAATGTGAAAAAAACAAAACAAAAAACAAAACAAACTTAGTTAAATAAACCGTATGGTAGGGGGCCGCGGTAACTACGGTCTGTTCGAACCTTATTTTCCTTATTTTAAAATTGTTTGAGCGTATGGTGCCGTGGAACGAAAGCTTACTTGATTATCATGACACGTAAAAGAAATGACAGCTAAAATGAACATTACATACTAGTAGCTCTTCTTATTTAAGCCAGTCATGCCTGCGTCCCGTATATACCTCACCTTCACCCCCCACACTCATGAGTCTTTACTATAATTACCCAACCATTTATACCTAATGTTATCTAACTCATATTGACCTTAAACTCACTTAATATCCAATCTAATAAAGTTTGTTAAAGGCTCCCGTCACTCGAATGAAGCAGGAGGGGAGGGTCAACAGAAAGCAAGCACAATTTTCAAAGGTTAAAAGAATGGATATTTTTGTACATGCGCAAACGACTATTTTAGAATCAAAGTGTATAATAATATGTATTAGTGTTTATTTCTGCACGAAGACGCCTGATAGCAACCCTATATAGGTTTGTTATTCCTCGGTGACCTTGTGGTAATTTGATTTATGATGAAAGACAACGGGAGATACTTCACTGAAGGAAAGTGGGCAATAAATAGCCTCAATTTCCCTTAATGTTCAATGTCGTATTTCCAGTTGTCTAAACAGCATTCAATGGACTTTTTTTCATATTCCTTAAAACCGTTGACCACACTTTTCCATTCCAACCACATGTGTTTCATCTTTTATTTATTTATTTATTTATTTATTTATTTATTTATTTATTTATTTATTTAATTTTGCTATTATTTAAGAAAGCTAGGCAATTTCTGAATGATTTAAACATGGGTTATTTGAGACATGCTGGTCCTGATATACAGATGCATGTCACTCATTTGTTAAAAAGGTAAATTTCTTTGGGTATGTACAGTTAATTTTCCCTTTTGTTATCAGGATAAAAAGCATGTTCGGGGAGTCAATCAATCACTGATAACAATTGACGCATTTACTGCAGACCTTTTTACCCTTTCTCTTATAAAAAAGGTCAACAACATTTATAAAAATTATTTTGTGGGAAATATTTCACTTTTGGATAATTTGATAGTGAATTAAGATTATGTGTAATGTCATTGTATAGTAAAGCTCCTTATAATAAGTTGATAACTAGAGTATTATTTTGTCAAATAAAAATGATTTTATCCGCTGGGCGTACAGAACGTACATTATCAGTAGGCGTATTTACCTTTTGTCTTAACCATGTAGCTATATATTGTACAGGACACTACTGCAGCACTGCTACTTAATTGTGCATAGGTATGGAACTACATGCTAGTAAAAATTTAGGGAATTTTTCGATTAAATATATTTCAGCTTATTACTCAGAGTGAAAATTTCTATTAAAACAGGTGTTTAGTTAAATCTTGACTTCCTACTTCCTCCTTTTCAAATATTTGCTGGGCTCAAGAATCTTCACACGCGTTCACGGTAAAGCGGTCAAGGTAATGATTAACTAAAAATATTCCATTGATTTCATTTCATTGTATCCTAAGGTCATTAGACATTTTAACATTATACTGGGGTTCATCTTATACATGCACTGATAGAATTACTTATCTTATTGTGAATCTATTTGTCAAATGGGTCAATAGGGTATTCCCAATCACATCACTAAATATACCCGTTTTTGTGTAGGCAAAAGTGACTGTCCACTCACCCATATCCCCACACCAACGGTCAGTAGAAAATGACCAGCAATAACGGCATAGTCCGCCGCCTCCAGCCTATATTTTCCCTCCATGACGTGACAGGCAATGTCGCAGCGTCTGAGGTGGTTCTGGAGGACTTCAGTGTGTAAGTTAGTGACCTAAAACCCAGTGATAACAGCGCAAATATATACAAGGCCACGCAGCCCTGATACCAGTGGTATGTTGAGGGATATAAAGTGGAGATATCCTAATATACCTGTACACGTAATATTTCCATACCAACAATGACACTTTTCGCGTTTTTTTTTTCCACATCAGTTTGCGATCTTTATGTGTTTGTAAACATGATAAGACATTAAGTCATCACTCATTCTGCCACATACCCCCCGGTACGTGTAGTTGAAATAAAGTAGAGTGGAAAGCACAGGTATGAGTAATCTGTATAAACTCTATCGTGTTATTCGAAAAGAAAATGTCCGTTGAACTTCTGTTTTCTTTCATATTTCTTTTCGCTTTTGGACTCCCAAGTTTTTAATCTCCCATTAAAATGTCCCACGCTTGAAATGAAGGTATGAAAATGTACATTACTGCGCAACCCTTATCAAAAAGGTGTTTTTTTTACTGAAAATGTTCGTAAAGTATAGAAGTAATGACCATCAATTTTTTTTCGAGTGACATTTTGTGGTTTCCATGTTTAGAGAGCCCTGGACTGGTAGGGACCCGTATCGTGTTGGACATTTTCTGAAGATTTCAGCAAATTCTCTTGAACTCGTAATAAAAAGGAACCCAAGCATGCGCCGGCCAGTAGCGCCCCGGGGTACAGTACATTGAAATTAAGTAAAATCTTCTTGAGAAAATCAGAAAATAACTCTGTATCGATAATTCTGTCACATTTGTGCATTTTCGCTCTTGATTTGCTTCTTTGTCACGATTTATGTATCCACTCTCCTCCAAATCCCACAAAATCTCGATTGAATTTGGGATGATTCGATCGTTTTGCACCCCGCTTACCACTTGATGTGTGTGTGTGTGTAGCCCCCCCCCCCCCCAACACGTGCGTGTAGCCGTGTAGCCCCGTCCCAACGTCTTGCAGCGTGCCCGTAGATTTTCAGAAAATAAAAAGTTGAGGTTTTGCAATTCATGGGCTCATTCCCAAAGACACCGCCGATCTACTTAATTCGATCCAGCTCTGCGGGGGCTCTCGCTGAATGCAGCCAGTTTAACAGATGAACACGCCTCCCCCTGGTGTGAAGTATAGTAGGCCAGTCCCAACGTCTAACAATTTCTCCCTACATTTTCGAATTAGGTGGCGGTACGGGGTAAACTTTTGTAATTCTAAAAATGCAGTGACAATAATACGCCCAACTGGTGTGATATACAGGTATTATGTCAAAGAATTAAAAATGAATAAATAAATAAATAAATAAATAAATAAATAAATAAATAAATAAATAAATAAATAAATAAATAAATACTGACAAAACCAACGGACAAAGGAAAACGTGCTTTTCTATGTTAGGCTTTCCCAAATTTATAAATGGATGAATAAGGTAATGAATGTGAACCGTGTCTCGATTTTAAGTAAAGTATAACACCACAAACAAAAAATTATTTTTTTTAATGAAATTGAATCCGATTGCGGGGCAATTACAGTGGAAACAGTGGGGAAAAGAATGAAAACGTGTTGGAAATTCGTTTATCTCCGAATGAAAATAAAGGAAAAATTGCCCCAATTTCATATCAACTCATATTTACCCGAAAACAAAGAAGCCCAAGCAATTTTTTTAGCTCTACCAACCTGCTCGTGAACGTTTTTCGTTTTGTCAATTTCGCTTTCAAGATTGACGAGGTACCGCCTATATACAATCCATGTTATGTATTTCCAGTACACCTCTGTAAGAAATCGAGAAAATTTAATGCGTGGATGACATACAGGGGCGGATCCGGGGGGGGGGGGGGGGGGATGCAAAGCCGACCCCCCCCCCCTCTCCCGCTGAAGGGCCCCGAAAAACTGATATTTTAGAGGGCAAACGGTGCCATTTGGTACGGTTTAGAACTGTGATTCAGCTAGTCAAAACTCTAATTTCAAGAGGGTGGCCAGAAATCGAAGGGGGGGGGGGGGGTCAGGACCCCCTGACCCCTCCCCATCTGAATCCACCACTGACATAGGAGGGGATCATTAGAATTTTTAATAATCCCATCTGCTTCATCTGCCTATAGAAGGCGCTTCATATAGTGACTGAATAAAATCGACTGAATGGGCTTCCTCAGCTCGTGACACCGTCATCCTGACCTCCAAACTACACCAACTTATGCAATCGTGGGACGCCAAGGGCACAACATGCTTGGTGCAGGACTACCATTGTTAAAATGTCTAGAAATATTTTTTAAAGTTTATACTTTTTAGAATTAAAAGAAATCTGTATTGGAATTCACTTGGTCGAATCCCAATCTGCATCTGTATCATAAGAAAATTAAAGGACATACCTGTATTTATGATTCGGATTTTTTATTTCATGTAGGAACTAATAGGCCCCTATACATGTGCGACGTAGGGCCTACATATGTACAACCATAGGCAAAAGCCCGATAAACATCAATTAAATAAGCAACAAATTTACATAAATAATTACTCACATATAATTTAATTAAGTACTGCGTTAATATGTTTGATCACTGTAAAATTATATAAACGCTTCCCCCTTCTGTCGACCCAGGTCGCCATTGTGTTAGTTGAGATTTGAGAAGAATAATCGTCATGTGACTTCTCTCCTCCGCGGCACCAGGTTAAACAACTAGGGTAAGTAAGTAGAGCTCTGTAGTAGAAGAAAAGTTTTGTCAAATAATTTGTGATCTACAGGTAGTGTGGTTCTGTAATTGTAATGCAGTGCACACCAATGTTGGGGTAAACTCTTTATGTGGAAATCTCGAGCCTGCGACCACGGGTAAAGTAGTTCGAAAACTTGTGACTGCACCGTACATGTATAGTCAACACAGTTGTACATGCCGTACTTAACTGTACTGTGACTGTACATGTATATTGTAGTTAATATACTGCAGTGTGCATCTGTTTGCATAGAGTAAGGAATTTTACTGGTGTGTAGAACTTGTGTAGAACTGTAATATTTCTGTATAAAGATCTGACCAAGCCTGAGTCGTGTGTGTGTGTGTGTGTGTGTGTGTGTGTGAGAGAGAGAGATCGAGATAGAGAGAGAGAGAGGCTCGTAAAGGTATATTTCGCCCTGGTAAAGTTTCATCAATTCTTTAATTTTAATGTCAACTTTGATATAATTTGAATTGTTATACGTAGTTCTGCCAACACGTCAGAACTCGGAGTATACATTTCACTTTTTCGGGTACATGTGCTAGTTATGTTGTCTAGCATTTGATTAACTACAGAATAATTATTAACACGAGAAAATACTGAATTGATGTTGCCTAAGATTGTGTGTAGATCCATGGGTAGATCGAAGTATTGCAACTCTCCCAGAATAGGTTTCAAACTCTATTATGCAGGAGACTATGAGGATAGGAGGTAGGAATGGATTTGGTTATTGACAGTGCCCATCATGACAATATATCAGGATTCCCCCTCCCTTCCCCCCGCCCCCCGCCCCCCCCCCTCCCAGAAATCAACTTAAGTGAGGTACCAGATTAAAGTTGCTTGCTCATCGACCTCACCATTAGCTGTGGAAACCAGAAATTATATAATCTTCAGTAAAATAATTAAGTCACATGTACCTGGTACACTTTCTCTGTACTTGTGAAAAGCACATGAATTATAGTGTGAGTCATTAGTCATTTAGTGATAGTGAAAGTTTGAGGCATGGAGAGAAAGACACGGGCAGCAAGACATGTGACTGTCGCTTCCAGGCTGATATGAAGATTTAAGATATTTGTCGGTGGTCTAAGGAGAAGGATCCAAGTACAATAGTGTACTGATTAGTATTTGCCCTGGGCAAGAAAATGAAATACGCGTGTGAGTGGGACATTAACTGGGGAAAGGTTGGCTTTGATGACTGGAAGTCATATGTGATATATTTGAAAAAAAAAACAAAACAATTTTGTACACATACACTGGGGTTTGTATATATTTTCCCAGCACCTGATTGAGCCTATCAGCATTACCTGAGACAATTTGTATTTGTATGTCTGATTTGAAAAACTGAAAACAATGATGATGAGTATGATGATTAATTTTTGTCAAAGAATAACAATATATTTATGGTATAGTTTGATATCTATGCAAAGGTAAGGTGTGGGAATTTTTTTAGGTTTTGAGTTTTTTTTTTTATGTATAGACACAGATGTGATGTGTCTGTACATATAGCCATCATCTGCGTCTGTCGTCGCCGTCGTCGCCGTCGTCGCCGTGCACTTTTACCGATAACACGATAAGTGGAAAACCANTTTTTTTTGTTAACGTAGTTATCTATATTTTCAGGTAAAATGGATAAAGGGGCTGATGAGACAACCAATCTTTTGGGTAACCAAACACAAAACTATGGCCCAGGAGCAGTCGACCAAAGTATAGAAATTTCGGACCAAGGTGGCCAAAGCTCAGAGCCATCAACGCCACCTGTGGGCATTACATCAAGTATGGAAAGGAATAAGAACCTACGACAGCGCCATCTACGGTCTGGGGAGTGGGACGGAGCTGTAGATGGCACCAGCAGTGGTGATGATGGAATGTACGTGTTTGTACAGAAACCTGAGAATGAAGTGGAAGCTCAGAGGATGCAGCAAAATTATATGGTATTATTTTTATTATTATCAAGAATGTGGATTGGGTTTTTTTCCTTTGGAATGGAAAATTGGCTATAAACTGTTATTTTGATTTTATATTATCAAATAATTTTTGGCTTTAGAAATAATTTATTACTGAAATATTGTAACAAAATAAAGTATATATACCATTTTAAATTTCATGTCCTAACTATGAATAAAGCTTGTGACATAAATCTGAAATAGATCCAACATGTTATTTTTCCTTTTCAGTTTGGTTTCAAGAAATGGAAAAGTCATGTGACAGCGCGCCCTCTGGCAGACAGATCAGACATTGTGAAACAGTTGTACGCAGAACAGGAGAAGGTGCCACCACCACAAGGTAAATTGTTCTTGGTTTAGTTGTGTAAATAAAGATGATAAATTCAGCTGGTGGTACTAACCCTGTGGAGGCATAGCCTCTCTGATCCTTTAGTTAGTTGTGTAAGGCATTAGGTAGCTACTTAATTCTGTTCTCGATCATGATATATATGAGCGCAGTGCAATACAATGCAATACAATATGATACGATACAATACGATACGATACAATACAATGCAAACTTGCAAATCTGCAGTAGAGCAAGTCACTCTGTTTGTGGCCAGAATTTTTATGATAGATGGAGAGAAATTTATATTCTGCAATTGGGTATTTTTGTCCAAATTTGGTTAGCGCAGTCTGGATGTAATGATTTCAAATTGGATATCTGAAACCTCCCTGGATTTTTTTTTGTTGTTAACAAATTGTTTCTAGTTGCATTATGGAATCTTAACATTGTATTTCAGTATCAGTTTACAGACCTACTAATTTCCTGTATGTTATTTTACTTGGCTGGTGGATTGCCTTACTTTACTGTATAGTGGGATGCCTCATGCTCTTCACTATCATAGGAAGAAAATATGGTGAGTTAAAATGACGTCTTTGAAAAACTACATGTTGGAGAAATGTTAATTCCCTTGATTGACTAATTGGATTTATAATTTAATTTAAATTTATCATCTGTAATGTCTTCAAATAATTACTTGTTGAAGAAATGTTAATTCATTTGATAAACTAGTAATTGGATTAAATTTATAATGGGATTTTTCAACTATAAATCCAAAGATTTAACCCAGCATCATTTTTGTCTGAGTTTATTGAAATTTTCTTGCCATGGTAACGATGTTATATTTTTATATAGTTGGACTATAATTATAATTTGATAATTGGGGTTTGTTTCTTTTCTAGCTTTTTTCTGCTGGAAGATGGCTGGTTACTTTTTCTGGCCGTTTGGGAAGTTTGTCTCAATGGTACTCCCTAGAGTCATCAGACTTAATGTAAAGTTGTTTACTCTGGATTTTGTTCCTCTTGCTTCATGATGTACTGCTGGGTTTGGCTTTTCTTGATCAGCACAGATTCATATTTTACTGCTCTGGTTTGATTATGTCACACACACAATGTATAGTAGTTTAAGAAAAAGCTTAATGTTATGCTATGATGCGTTGTAAAATTGGATAAAAATCATCTGCCTGTTTTCTTTAGATGCTTGAGACCTGATTATTATTACCAACATTTAATGCTTAACTTTATGATTATTTTAAAAAATGAATCAGAAATTGCATTACAAGATCATTTGGAAAACCTTAATTTGATGTTGAATTTGCTAGAGCTAAAAATGAGATGTGATTAAAACCTTTTTAAACCACCTGCACATTCACAGTCAACACAATGAGAATTGTGCTGAAATTCACCATCTTGATTTAAAAAGATTCTGACATGTCATTGAAGCTAGAAGGCATCCTAAACAGCTTTACCTATTATATTTTATACACAGTTCATATAGCTGTAATAACTCTTACAAACTCTGCAGATTAGAGGATAGAAGTAATAGTTTTTGTCATTTATTTTTGAAATATAGAAGTTTTTGTAATTTATTCTAAAATCAAAAACAGTTGCCAGATTAATTGTTCCAGATGTGATTTGTAATTGTACCATTGAAAACAAGCAAGACTAGTTCATTTTTAATTCAATATATATATATATATATATATATATATATATATATATATTTGTATTTTATAAAATAATCTTTATTTTCATAGGAGAGTGGCACATTGCTGGAGTCAAGGGACAGGGATTACACTGTCAGTGACACGGTGCCTCTAGTCTCAGGAACACCTAGCCTGGGAACAAAACATAGTAGCTATGGTTACTGGGTATGTAAGCCTTATATGGTCATGTGAGGCATGGTTTCTATGGTTACTGGGTATGCAAGGCTTATATGGTCATATGAGCCATGGTAGCTATGGTTACTGTGTAGTATGTAGGAAAATAAACCATGGTCACCATGATTACTAGGAACTTATATTTAGACTTCCATCTTTATGAGAGAAATTTTTGTGTATTCCATTTTTTTTGCATTTTTGCATATGTCTATTTTGCATTTCTTAAATTTTGATGTTTGCTCAAAAAGAACTAAGATAGATATGGATGGGTGTTGATGGCTGAACAAAAAATTATATCAGTGATGTGGCAATTTAAAATATGTGTCTTAAAACAAAGCATTTACTAAATTAATTGACTGCAATACATGTCCTGTTGTTTTTAAACAAAATCTAGGTATATTTGGTTGATATTCAGGTATCAGTAATATTTATTTTATTTCTTTCAGAAACATCCCCAGACATACATATGGCTAGTGCTGGGGCTTCCACTGTTGTTTATTGTCCATGGAGTGGTGTTCCTCCTCTCCTGGTTCTTAGTGATCACCATCCCAGTAGCCAAGGTATGTCTCATGATGTTATCAGTTATTAAATAAATTATATTGTCCATCTGATCGTTTGATATGTTGAACTATGGTGCATAGCCTCATGCAGAAGGAAAGTAATTGATGAGTTCCTGTCTTGGTATTGAGCTTACCTCCCCCCCTCTCCCAATTCATTGATGGTCTTCTTCCAGCTAGGATATGTTACTGAGTGCCAGAAAGAAACTTTTTTATTGTTTTTTTTTTTATTTTCTGCAGCGTTTAAAAAGAAACAAAAAACAAATGAAAGTATCTTTAAGGTTACTTATAAATTGTTTGTGGTTTCTCCTGGTTCTGCTTTAAATAGTTATTTACTAATTTATTTGTGGTATACTCTCCACATTGAAGTTGTGCCTGTGTTTCTGAATTTCCCTTTAAATCATTATTTAAATTTTATTCTGGTATTCTAGTTAAATCTGAAGGCTATAAGAGTTATGCTGTTTCTTCCTCCTGACACTGTTCAAATCAAAACTTCCAGCATGGTGAGTTATTTTTTTTACTAGGTATAATTACATTGATTTTATTAAGAATATGGCTTTGATATCTTCAGTTGTTCTTAATTAATATCAAGCTTTATTTTGTGGTATAAACTTGTCTTAAAATACTAGATGGTATTATTTATTTCAGAGCCTAGTGAGTCCTGACAGTGAGATCATCATCTACACACACCAGTCTGTGAATTTTTATTACTACAAGTACACAGTTGATGGCATGAATGTTATCTTAGTCAGTATCCTTTATCAGTTTTATGTCTTTTGTCTTCCTGGTTTATTGAAGATTCAAACAATTTAAAATTATATGCATCGTTATCAATAAAATGTCTGTAAAATCAAATACAAAAAGGGTATAATTTTTCAATTTGTTTATTTTTTACATGTATCGATATTCTTCTGTTATCACCATATGGGTTATAAGATCAGTTGTTGACTCATTGTTTAATAAAGTCGATTTACAAATAGATTGATGTAATAAATCATATTTTTGCATCTTTAGATGGATCCTTTATATCTTTATTATTTACTGATTGAATTGGTGGTTAAGCTCCTTAGCCCAGGTTTTCAGACCTTCTGGTATTTGTTCTCCTCTCTCTGGTGTTGGGCTATGCTGACAGAGATAACCACCTCACAGGGGATGTTACCGTGAGTATGCGCGCATGCACACAAGTACATGCACATTCACACACACACACACACACACACACACACACACACACACTGTAGACTTTTTAAAATTAAAATTTTAATACTCCATACAGGATGTTATCATTAATGTAATTCTCAGAATTCTCTTTGGACACAAGTCGAGGGTTTTTCAGTATACCTGTTATTGTGCAGTCATTTCACACTGTTGAGACTACATGTAACATCACAAACAATGGTTCCTAAGTAATATTTTTGTTGGTTTATAATAGATACATTATGTTATAATTATTAAAGGTCTATTGTTACGCCAAAATGTTGATTTTCTTTAAATCTTTTAAGTCACTTCAAGTCACAGGTTGTTTTGAAAAATTTTCTTTCAGAAATTTATCTTGTCCTTCCTTGCCCTCATCCCTCTGTCATATTACATTGGAATGGCCATTACTAGGTAGGTGCACTGGGAGAAGGAGGGGCAGTTTTGACCTAGTTTGTTTGTATGGTGCTAGTCTTGAGGTGCTTGTTGCATTTGTGAGACAATAATTTAAGGTGATTGTGTTGATATATTTGATTTAATGCATTGCTTTTTGCTTGTACAAAATATGCACATACCAGTTTCTTTGATATAGTATGAATATTTCATACCTTAGTCAGGTATTTGCTTATTCAGTACAAAGATTTTGTACAAAAACTCCTTATATAATAACCACATGATAATCACTTTATTTTTTCATGGTTGAGCTAGAGTAGTTTAAGCAAACCAGGTAGGAAGTACCTCCCCTTTTTTACATGTGTTTATACAATGTGCCATTCTCTTGTTTTTTCCTCAGTATCTCAGCCCAGAGTAACTTTGCTGTGGGCGCCTTGCTCAATGCCACGTTTGGCTCCATAGTAGAGATCTCCCTGTATACTGTAGCTCTTGTGAAGGGGAGACAGAGTGGAAATACTAAATGTTATTCAGAGTTAGTCAAGTCAGCACTAGCAGGTGGGTGTCATGTTATACAAATATGTTATTATACCATATTTATTTTACTTTAAGTAAACTTGCATGTTTGGGTTTTTTTATGTGTATTGTCTTGTGTGTATTATCTTAGGCGTTCTTCGCTATAAAAATAAAAGGGAAAATAGTTATGATAAAATTTCCCATATTTCTTTGGTCTGTAATTTGATAAGCATTTTTTTCTTTGGGAGAAAATATGAAGTAATCCAGAACCACATTAAGATTAATACTTAAATGCCAGTATTATGCAGTCCAAAATTTTAGTTTATTGCTTATTATAACCTGTATTTCCCAACGTCATCCCAGGTACACTGTTGGGGACCATGTTATTAGTGCCGGTGAGTATGACGTACTTATCTTGCCCATGTGACCTGCTTGCTTATTCTTTTTAAAAGCCTTGCAAATACCTGAAGAAATTCATGTTAAAATTCTGTTTTTCTTTTTAATTTTTGAGAGACCATGATAGAGTTAATTATAGAATGGACACCCACCCACCCACACACACACACACACACACACGCACACACACACGCACACACACACACACGCACACATATCTAAAGAGAAGAGTCAAGTCCTCTTTATCAGAGTTCATATGTAATCTTTTTCAAAGCATTTGCTGTGGCTCACCATGAGCTACATTTTGATAAATGTCCCCATGTTTCTCATCCTGTTATTCAGGGACTGTGTATGATAATAGGAGGTCTGAAGCATCGCCTGCAGGTGTTCAACCCCAGATCTGTGGGCGTCAGTTCTTCTTTACTCTTTGTCTCTGTGGCAGGTGAGTGAAACTTTTGTTATTAATATTTTCTAAGACCCCATTTACAACAGTGAACTAACTAGTCCACAGATCGAATGGCAACCCACTAAAAACCTTGCCGTTTAATCCCCTTATGAACACTGAATAGATTCCCTGCAGGGATTATGCATCAAACAATCAAGTGTGTATATATTTGATGGGCAGTCTAGTTAGTCCCCTGTTATGAATGCCTGACTTTTCGATTTTCATACCAGAACATAATTTATTCCAATAACTATACAATAAGCATCTCAAATAAAAAAACTCTCATGTGTATATTCCAGCAGATATATGAAGTCAGCATCTCAGATAAAACTATTATGGCAGACATCACCTTGTCTTTGTTTTTAAGCTGAGAATCTTCTCTCTAGGTGCCTTCACCCCCACCATCTTCTCCAAGGCGTATGGCACTCTTCAGTGTGGTGAGTGTGTGTACGATACGAACAGAACCACGAGTGTTCTTCCCAACACTTCCTACGCCCTGCAGTGCCAGGACTGTGAATACTCTGTGGTAAGTCCATATTAGATAAACATATTTCTACCCTATAAAAAAGTTACTCTAACTTTTCAGTTGGGGAAAATTGTGAGTTTTACAGATACTGTGCTTTTTAGTCATTATTTCTGAAACAAAATAGAACTTTCCTGTTGAGTGGTAGCAACAAGATTTAAGTTTAATTTTAATGTTTTAATGAGGACTTCGCCTTATGTACATGACTCTATACCAACTGATTTATATCTATTTCAGTTTGGTTTCAATGGGGACCACACCTTATATGACAATCACATCCGCCCCCTGGTGTATGCCTGTGCTCTGGTGCTCCCCATAGCTTACCTCATAGGACTGATCTTTACCATGAAGACACACAAATCTCACATCCATGACAAGTTCATGGAGGAGGCTAAATCACGGGCCACTGGTAAGATAAAGAGACCGTTCACTATGAATTTTATTGGTCTAGTTACTGTGCACTAACTCCATGGGGCTCCTCTTTGTTCCAATGGACTTGCATGTTTATCTGTTGTTCTGATTGCATTAAGCATGAGTCCCTTTGGAGTTTGTACACAAAAGCTGAGTGGATTAAGTCCATTGGGGCCATTTACTCACCGTTGAGTGTAAGTGTATAATACAGTATAAAGAACAATATTAAGGGAAAGAAAAAATGTCCAGAAATTTTTAACAAAGGTAATAAAATGTGTGACCTTTGAACAAACCCTTATATAGTTGACTTTTGAGACTATCAAAGTGTCTTTTTAATCACAGCGTAAGTTTATGATTACTAATCAGATCTTGTAAATACCTTGCTAATCAGTGTGAAAACAAGAAGCTGAAATGTTTATTGCAGAGATTAAGAAAGATTTAAAGCTACATATACAAATATTTCCAGATTTTGATAATTTTTATAAATTCCAGGTGATGGTCATGGTACAGATGTCCACTGGGGGAGAATTAAAAGCACAGTTATCTTGCTGTGTTCTGTCATACTGACCTCTCTGAGTGCTGACATTGCCACGGAACACATACAACCCGTACTAGAAAACTCTTCAGTATCACTGGTAAGTACTCACAGGGTCTTCCGGAAGACGGTCAGATTTTCATGTTAACATTGACGGGTATCCAATTTTTTCTGACAGAAGATGGAGGATGGATCAACAAAGATCATTTGGAAGACTGTCAGAAAATATTTCTGAATCCATCCCTGACTATATCTATCTATCTATCTATCTATCTATATATATATCTATATATATATATATCACAGAGGAGGTCTTGCTCCGGCACATGTTCAGATTTTCCTTACACAAGTTTTCAGTATCCATGCTATATATATATATATATATATATATATATATATATGTTCCCCTTTGTCTCCTTCCAGTACTTCCTGGGTGTCACCCTGCTAGCTCTGGTCCCTGATATCCCAGAGGTGGTCAACGGGATACAGTTTGCACTGCAGAATAATGTTAATCTTAGGTGAGGAGAAACTGACTAAAAAATTTAGTACTAGTATAAGATTTATAAAGCAAAAAGAAATCGATTAATGATTTGGTTTGGTGAGTTGCATGCAGTTTCTACCCAGATTTAGTACAATGGTCATTTTCGATGATAATTAATTGAAGTTTTGTTAAATTTTTCAAACCTTGGTGTTATTAGACTATCAGCAGCACCCTATTTATTGTCTGGTAAAACCTTTTGTGACCTAAATGTTATATTATATTATATTATATTATATTATATTATATTATATTATATTATATTACAGTATTGAGGTGGGTACAACCACTGCAGTTCAAGTTTGCATGCTTCAGATGCCCCTTCTGGTACTGCTGGACCTCATCTATGTGAGTATAGAAACAGCGTGAGGAAATATTGGAATTTGTATTATCGCTGCACTTGTATTTCACTTAAACGTTAGCTTGTATTTCCATATTTTTTGGTGTGTTCATCCTATTGTTTGCATACAGTGGATGACTTGTGTTGTAACATATCTCAACTAATGTCTTAATAAGCCTGATCTTGACCTCTTACAGGACAATAATTGGACTTGTCAATCTTAATGTTTTCTTCTATGTGTGATCCAAAAAACTGTAACTGCCAAGACAAAATATGTTAATAAATCACTTGCCTGATTGTTATGTTCTGTTTCACTTCTTATTTCAGCCAGTAGACTTTTACCTCATCTTTAGTGACCTTCATCTTTGGGCTGTGATTTTCTCAGTTATTGTGATGAACTACGTCTTCCAAGATGGAAAGTCAAATTATTTCCAAGGTGAGCTTTCTTTTGGTGTATTGTTGTGCCCCAGTTCATTTTTGACAAGATTTAATTTGATAAATACTGTCACTACTTCATTAATAATGCTAATGGATATGTTTTAACAAATTGAATATAGAAATCATATATTATAAATGTAAATTATATACTCTGTGTACAAAAAAAAATCATTGTATCGATACATGTATGGAGAGTAATACACATTTATAAGAAATTGCTTTCCATTTATTTGAAAGTTGTTAATGTGTTGTCCTGGCTGTTAAGTTGTCAATTATTCTGGTTTCAGGCTCAGCGTTGTTTATGGTGTACGTCCTGCTGATACTGATGTACTTCTTCTCCCCGGCTGGCAACGAGGTGTGTGGGTCACCTTGACCTGGGTCACCTTAACCTGACCTGACTTTGACCTTGGTCACTTTGACCTGGTTTGACCTTGACCTGGGTCACCTTGACCTGACCACACCTTGACCTGATTATTATAAAACTGGTGCTTGTACTGAGGTCTGCTTCACAGATACTCTCACTGCTGCTCTTGTCTGTGTTATGATTTGTTGTGACTGGTTGTGATCTGTATGATTACTGTGTTACTATTGTTGACAGTAGGATCATTTGTAATGGTTAAGGTGTTCTATGATTTTATATTAAGAGTATTAGAACAAGTATTAGCGTTTTGTTTTTAACATGATAATTGTACAACAGTTTCAAATATTACAATATTGGCTTTCAGGGTTAAAGTGATACTGTTGTCTTTTAATATGTAGCTACTTTGATCCATCTTTGATCCTATTTCTTGGTTAGGAGGATGGATATTGATTTTGGGCTAAAAAACTAGAGACAGTTATGAATTTTAAAAATGTTTTTTCTTGTTAAAGAGATTTGTATGTTGTCATGATCTTTGGTTACTGTTTACAAAAAATTTGTTGTAGCTGCTACATTAATATCATTTGTCAATCTTGTCTTATTTGTGCAATATTTATATTTTATGATAGTGTTAATAAGAATATGCTTTACAGCTGTGGATGAACAAATATTTATACTGTACATGGCACTTACAATACATTATTTGTTTAAATGTTTCTTCTTATGTATGCTGTGCATCAGCTTGTCTTCTGTTACGTTGATTGCCTTTAAATATGTACAGATTATATTTGTAAAAGGTTTTAAAAATCAAATTTATATCATCATGGGCATTAGTTATTTTAAGTCGAGAAGTATTATTTGTTTTATTGCTGTTAATATTAAGAAAATGCACGGCATGTATTCAGTGTAGATATGTTAAAATTGACAATTTTGATATTTAAAGAAGTGGTTTGATAATTACACCTATTATATATGTTTGATTGAATTATATTTTATTAGAACAACGAACAAACTGGAGTCGGTGGCTCTGTTTTCCATGGACATAAAGGGAACTTTGTAAGCTCCTGAACCACGTAGAATATGAAGCGGTTCCATGGGCTTGGCTATTTGTATTTGTGTAATTTGCACAAGCTATTTTATCCTTGTTACTGATTTATATTTAGAGCTCACCATAAATTTGATCAGAACTATTGAGATTTTTCACCACGTGTTTGGTTCATCAGTGGCCTTTATTGATCTTCCGAAACAACGATGTTGATCTGTGTAACGTTTGATGTAAGGCCGGTGTTAACGTTATTTTATATCCACTTTATAATACTGTACGGCCGATTTCAATGTGCATCTGCTTTATTTATCTGAATTGTTACTATTAGCGGTGGATTGTGTTGATTTACATGTTGTAAGAAGGACACGGATGCTTTAATAATTTAATTTCTGTTACGTTGGCTATGTCTTTCGACAAACTCAAATACAAACATTGTTCAAAGATTTTAGACTATAGACCTAGAGATAGTACAATTAAGTTGGCCACGGCCATTATTATACAATATGTGACATTTTTGGGTGATATATTATCAAAACTTGCACGAGTAGATAGCGGTTGTGATATATTCTAGGTACTGATTTCAGGGTGTACTCCTACGTGTACATAGTTGACAGTTGGTCCATGTTTTTATATTGTGATACATTTTAATGATAAAAATCAACGTGGAAACGTTTTATGGTAATGGCATGAGTATGTAAATATATTTACAGTTTCACTTCCAGACTTTGAGTCAATAAAATATTTTAAGAAATTAGGGATACAGTTGTTTTATTTTAGAAAAAATAAGCATGATAATCACCAAAGGAACTGGTTACATAAGTAGTTGCTATCTAGCATAACATGACGTGTGAAGTATTGACATATCTTAACAGTATTAGCGTGTATCAGTAATACTGTTATGCTGCTTCTCACATTGACAGGGAGTTGTCGTCGGGGGACTTGGGGGGGGGGGGAGGAGGGGAGTAGAAGGACTGATGACTGGCATTGAAATACTGCCTGGCCATTACAAAACATGACAAACCGCTGCTCTTTAATTGTTATAATTAAATCTCTTTGAAAAGCATTGACGTAAAATTTTCTCCGAAAGTACGACGTTCTTTCAAGTTTCTCCACTTTCTCGCCATTAGTACTTGCAAATATGATTTTCGTTTTGGAAATGTGTTACATGTATCTATTCTGTGTTAAACAAGCATGACAAACACTGGATATCTGTCGCCCCTGAAATCTTCCTAAACTTCTTAATCAGACTTACTGGATCAGTTTTGCATGTATTTGCCGATATGAGCGACTTGCGTCAGATTTTACTTTGAAACCGGTCTGTTTACTTTGATGATAATCAAATGCATATTCCCAGAAAAAATCTTATTTATTGATTTAGAACCCCAATATGGAACGACAAAAACACAAATAACAAGTACTTGTAACTGCAACACGTGCTACTAGTATATGTTAGAGTTAGTTGGAGTATTTTGTGTAGCGAGAAGTATTCACGTGTCACATGACTTGCCCCACCTGTATATATTTGAACTCCCGCCCTGACATTTTCATTCAGTTCAGCGACACGGTCTCCCCGGTCCATGGTGTTTACATCAGTTTTTACAAGTTTACTTCAGTTTCCATCAGTTTATATTAGTTTTCATGAAGTTTTATTAGTTTCCAGAAGTTTTCACTAGTTTTCATAAGTTTTTATAAGTTTTCCTGCAGTTTACGGAATTCAGCGAGATACAATATATGCACTTCAAGAACGCTTTTCTTGTTTTCTACGAATACGGTACGGTCACAGCAACACTTGCATTGGAGGAATAGCTGATGTGTGGACAATTCCAGTCGAATGGTTTGACTGTGGAAGACGACGCTAAATGGTGAACATTTTTACTTTCAAGGTAGATAACTGATGACATAAACGGGTCGGAAGAATCAGAAGCGAAATTAGAGAGGAAACTGAGTGAGATCATGTTAACAGGTGCGAACATAATTTGTCGCTTATTAATTTGCATAACACTTGGCAAATGGCATGAAATATGGCGTATTAGCCGGAGAAAGAAGGGGAAGAAACGACCAAGAAGAGGCGTCTACAGCTGTGATTGATGAATGGGAACTTCGCCCGAGGTTTTGTAGTGAAATATCGTATAAAACAGCGCGTGCAGACAGCACGTGTCACATGACGCTCGGTACCACGGAACCAGCGACAGTGACATCTGTCATTCGTGTCATGGTAAGATAATTACTAGATGTATTACCCTTCATACTGTAGGCGGTGCCCCTAATGTCCTTCTAGGTGTATATCACGTACCAGTCTTGTGTACTTGTTGCATTTATCGAACGCCTTAATTCTGTGCTGAACCTAAAATTAAATTTAACGATCTTGGATAATGTAAGTAGCTTCAAAGCGTTACTAGACATCTGCAGCGGGATATTTCGAAAAGGACGACAGGTACTTTGAACTGTTTGATTATTGGGCTGAAATGGGTAAGTACTTGTAAAACAAAGACTATGGTATTTTTATTTTATTTTATTAAGAATTAAGGGCTTGGATGAAAAGTTCAGAACACAGCCATTGGTTGTTTACAGATCTAGAACTGTCTTTAGTTATCACACCAGACAATTAGCAAAAGAGAAATCCAAGGTGTATTCTAGTTCTTAACGATTATCATTCAACCGATTTTAACATCAGTCTGGAAGGACAGACTGTGTGGAAATGAGTTACTAGAAGCCCCGTTTCCCACTGGTTCAATTTAATATTCCCTATGAGCTTTCGATTTGCGACTTTCGGTTTCGTTCCATGTGAAAAAAAGACGTTTTAGCATTTAATTAAGACATTTAAGAATTAAAACTTAAAATCCCAGAACAAGTGTCATTTTCTTCTAGATAAAACTGTACCAAAGAATTAAAAAGATTTTCTAAACCAGTTTCATTCTACCTTCTGTTTTTCCTGGTTTTTGACTGCCAGACAAAATAAAGATGAAAACCTACCATTCATATCGAGCTCCCGTTGTCTCTGCGGATTCTACCACAGAAGACGACTCAGTGGATGAGACGCAGTTCGGGAACGCTGCCCCCCTGTCCTCAAGACTGACCACCCCGACCATGTTACTGGACAGTTTGATGTACCACGACGTGGACAAAGTGGACATGGAAGAGGCCAGGGAGCAGGGGGACGTCCTGGGGGTGAAGAAGATCGAGAATAACTACAGGGTGAGTAGAAATACAGGGGACGTCTTGGGGGTGAAGATGATCGAGAATAACTACTAGAAAAACATGGCACATTGTTACTATGGGCAATAAAAAAGTGAAAAAAAATAGTGAATTTTAGAGACGTATTGGGAATGAAGAAGATATAGAATGATTATAGAGTGAGTAAAGATACATTATTACACTATTGGCAATAAGCAAACAGTTTGAACACGAAGAGGCGATTGTGCTTGAAGAATGTAGAGGAGTGGGTTCAGAGAAAGTAAATAAAAGCTACTAATACGAAAATCATCGATGACGTAGCTATTCACTTGTTTCTGCTATTTTTGTTATTCGGCAGTGTCATTCAAGCGTACATGTACATGTACACGTTTTGCCTTTTCTATCACGCGACAACAGATGATGATATTCTTCCTGAACATAGCCTTTATACAGTATAAATATATATTTAAGGTAAATGCACGTTGTTCCTATGCTTTCTTTCAGTTTGGTTTAAAGAAATGGAAGAAAGAAGTTGTGGACAAACAAGCTTTTCAAGAACCATTGGGGGTTGAATTGGGAGGTGAGTAGAATTAAAATATTTCGTTAACTATTAATAAAATGTTGGAAATTATGATCAGTGTCGCTATGTACGATCCTTCACACATAATATATAGGCTGAAAAAAATTTATAGCTTAATTGCTGTCTTTACAGAAACATTCTGTCTCAAGCTGGGGAGTTTCCTGTACATGGTATTCTTCGGTTGGTGGATGGCGGTCGTCTATATTTTCGTTGCTTGGCTGATGAGAGTTACCATCATAGGGAAGAGATACAGTGAGTTCTCAGCATTACTTGTTTATTAACAGTCTAAATTGATTCATGAGTTCAGAAAAGGAAACAGGAGTTAATGACGTAAACAGGACAACATGACGTCACCTTTATCAATTAGTGACGTCATCTTATTTTGGTTCGACAGATTTTATTACGCACGTGCATATAACCCATTTTTGTGGGTTCAACATTAAACATTGTACTGAACTGAATTTCACAGCTTCGAAAATCACATCTGGAAGTTTTATTTATAGGTCATTTTTGCCTTCAGATGGCACGATATGTTTTGTGGCCTTTTGGAAAAATCATTGCAAAGGTGAGTTGGTACTAGTGCATGTCAGACGCCAACTATCTGTGCCTGTCTAAATTTATACAGCATACAAAGGTTTTTATATCCATTATGATAGAAGTCTTATTGTTGTTTTTATTTGGTCTTTTGCGTATTGATGCAGTTAACTACACACAGCAGCGTATTCACGTTGTAGGAAATCAGTCAGAACACCCAGGACTACACTGACACCCCTGATAGCAGCTGGACAGAGGAGATAACAGAATTTATGGGGCGCCGGAAAACGTTCAAGTGGGTCGGTATCTGGGATAGCCTAGACTAATGCATTACCATGTATAGAAAAGAAAGAATAGCGGAATGATAGAATAGCTGAGAAATTGAATTTATATATGTTGTATATTAAAGATTATTTATTTCTTGTATGTTAAATTGCTGAGTTACAGTGACGCAAACGGCTGAACACGACACAGGATATTATTTCAATTGATTTAATGCTAAGAGTGCACTATAAAAACTAATGATTCATTATGCCTTTAAACACAATTTTCAAGAATCTATCTTTATTCTTGACTTACTATGAAGTGATATCATTTTTTTCTTTTATTTCGAATTAGAAAAGCGCAGGGACGTGCGTTTGGTACGTCACCGGCTTCCCTGTCTTGGTATTGTTCCACGCCATTTCCGCCGCTCTCTCCTGGCTGTTTGTGCTGTCCATACCCACGGCCAAGGTAATAAGGCTGCAGTTTAGACATTGGACATGAAGTTCATGGTCGCATTTAGGATAGTGTTTAACTAGTCCGCGGGTCAAATATGGCCGACCCACTTGAATACTTCCCCACGGGAAATCTGTTCAGTGGCTTTTAGCGGATTAGACGGCAAGGTTTTTGGTGGGTCGCCATATTTGACCCGCGGACTAGTTAGTCCTCTGTTCTGAATGCAGACAATGATTTTGACTGTTATGTATTGTTATACCACCATTTTGCGTATGGATCTCTGTTTTCTTTGATATCAGATGAACATTAGGATTATTATGATATTGACAGAGAGCAATCTATCCATCTATCTTACTATATATCTGTTGAAATACCACCATTTTCTTTGCCTTAGTGATATTTTAACATTTTTCCAGATGAATTTAAGGATCATAACAAACGTTTTGCGACAAGATCCAGACGAAATTGAAATAGAAAGGAGCAGGGTAGTTGCATTGATTATATATTCTTTCGTATTTTTACTTTTACAAATGAAATAAATGAACATAAGGTCATCTTTTATGTATACATCTAAATAATTCGTTCAAATTTAAAAGGCATTTTTAATTTTTTCATTTATTTTGCCTCACTTTCGTGCTTCGTTTCTCCATTTTAAGTTCACAAATCCTTGTGAGTAGAAGAATTTTTGCTTGATGCAAATTGCAGCAGAATTATGTATAACTCTAATGGCGTTTAAAGGTTTCGGCATTATACTCAAATGGGTTATAAAGGTAACTTATCAATCAAATGTGATATATAATTGTATCATTACATTTTTAATTATGATACTATAAATGCAAAAACAATGTCTGTATACATTTTTCGTCCAGATAAATAACGTTTTAACAAACAAAACACTAAACAAATGAAATTATTATTTTAAAAGATAACTTAATTATTATTTCAGCCATATAAGCAAAATCACCTGGAAGTTCTGATGTACGTTCATCAACCGTTCCGAGTGTTGTTCTGCCGGTATACAGTGGATGGCATGAACGTCATCCTAGTCAATATCCTTTTTGAAAATTAGTTTCACATCTCCATCTTGCCCAAGCCTTTAGAAGACAAAAGCATACAAGTGAAAACAATACGTTGGGATATATACGTGTGGTACAAGCAGCTGTAATCGTGAACATTATAAGACTTTAAACATATATATTTTCCTTTACTTCTCTGCAAATTTGCTTGCCTTCACCCTTTTTGCTCTAGCTTTTGGATACGCTATGCCAGGCAAAGACGACACAATGGAATTAATTGTAGGTTGCTTCCATACACTATTAAAAATTATTAAGAACACGAAATAATAATGAAAACCGAAGACAAAAGGTAAGCTCTTAAAAAGTAAAACTTATCATAAGAAAGATTGATTTAAATTGGTAAGTTTTGAAATGTTATTGTACCATCTTTTCAGCAATTCACATTGGCGCTGTTGGCGATTTTGCCATTGGCTTACTATATAGGCATGGCACTAATAAGGTGAGAATATCTCCCCCCCCTCCCCCCCCAAGAAATATAATAATGAAAATAAATGAATTAAAGAAAAAATAACAGTCATCGCAATCACTGAAGTATTTCTACATTAATAAAACAAGTCAGTAATATAAAGCTGCTATCTGCATATAAATGTATGGCCATTTAAGACATAAAATGAATATCGCAAGATGAAAATATACTATATTTTCAGAGTGGGTAAGGGTGGATTATTGGGTAAAGTCGGGCCCGCAGTCCTATATTTAAATACATTTTGAAAGTCCAATGGGTGTACGTGTCAGAATAATCTTTCCTTTCTCGCAGTATTTCAGCTCGCAGTAACTTTGCTGTTGGTGCGGTTCTGAACGCCAGTTTTGGCTCCGTGGTCACGGTGGCGTTGTGTGTGGCGGCTCTGTTCGCTAGCAACAAGGAAGCCGATCATGCAGAGATGATTTGCTACCAAGAGTTGACAAAAGCCACCCTTACTGGTAAGACCGATTTATCAAATTTATTTACACTGCTCTAGTTTTTAGATTGCGTATTGCACATCGTTATTTAAAAAGACATATAATTATATAATTGCAATATCTATATTAATAATATACATGCACCTGTTGTATTATATAGGCTGCAATAAACTTAAAACTTTGTAATGAGATGTACAAAGAAGTAATTGTCATATATTGTCGAGTTTTGTCTTAAAATATTGAATGAAAAAAATCATTATACAGAAATATAAGGTCCGTTAACTTGCCCATGTGCTACCACTTAGAACACGTTTTACTGTATATATGTCATAAAATAACAGATATGCTGAGTGTGTTGTAATGAAACAAATGCAGTAGGTGATATGATACCTGTGTAACTATATAATATTTCAGGTGTGTTAATGGTAACACTACTCCTGATCCCTGTAAGTATCTGCGGGCAAAAGAAATAAGCAAACAAACATTAAATTAAAGAGCACAGGTAGCAGTTTTAACAATAACCACGAGGGCGTCCTGGATCTGTTTAAATTTGAATCGATTTAAGAACAGCTTTGCAGAGAGAGAGAGAGAGAGAGAGAGAGAGAGAGAGAGACAGAGGTGGAGTGCTGTTCTCCTTCCAGTTTCTGTCTTCCAGGGTTTAGCGATGACAGTCGGAGGTCTAAAACACACCACCCAGAAGTTTAACAGCAGATCGGCAGGGATAAGTTCCGCGCTGTTACTGGTCTCCCTGGCAGGTAGGTACCATGAGTGTTCCAGCCGAAGGGATGCTTATTTTTCGAGACACCCTGTAGCCTTCAAAAGGCTGACGCCTAAGCAAGGGATGGATAAGTAGATAGTTTTATCTTTTTAGACATCTAGAACCCGGGCATGTTTTAGGAAATTACTACAAAGAATATTAATAATAAACAAAAACAGCAGAATGATTGTATTTGTCTTGTGTATGGATTTAGAAAAATAGAATGCATTCGCTCCAAACTATCACTAACGGTGCATACGATCGAGAAATAAGAATAAAATTCACTGAAATTTAGATAACCAAATTCATACTCTAGATCAACCAAGGTTCTTTGGATTTCAGGCACATTTGCTCCAACTATTTATGCCAAAGTCTTCACCAGCTTGGACTGTTCACCATGCTTCGGAGGCGGGAATTCTAGTAACGTCAGCCCGACCTTTTGCGCTTCCTGCCAGTCTCAGATGTCCAAGGTGAGGGCAGTGCCAGGGCGCTGTACAGACAGTGCATGCGCGCTCGTCTTGGTGTTTTATTTTCTTCTTCACTGTTATTTTCTTGATGATTTAGCAATGGTTCGTCAGCTCTATGGATGAATTTCAGTTATACTAGGTATAGTAAGGCAACATTAAAAAAAGTTAATTTGAAAAAATGAAAGGACAGGCCTATTGTCCTTGCGGGAAAATCGGCTTTAAATAAAGCTTTTACACGACTTGAACAAACTCACGCAAGTTTATAAACTCTTACACGAGATAATCTTTTCAAATAAGAAGTACTCAAATTTATCAGTACCATTTTCTGATATATTTGAGTACATTTACATTTAGACTCATCCTTCAAGAATTCTACACTTGCAAGAGGCCGACGAAAAACTGAACTGTTAAATAGTTAAATAGGGTATTTTTATATATACATTTTAATTTCAGATGGACCTCCAATTTACCAGCCCAGAGTTTTACAGTCAGAATATAAAACCGCTCGTCTACTCTTGTACGGTTATACTGCCCCTAGCGTACGTGGTGGCCCTCGTATTCACGCTACACACCCATACTGCCCACGTCTTTGAGCAGTTCATCGAATCTGCTAGGGCCATAAGCAAAGGTATTCCCGGGTGACAATACCAATCACATCACTTTTGTTTGATAATTGAAATAAAAAAGTCCTGTAGATTGAAAGACAGCATTTTGTACGTCACTATTGGAACAGATTTTGAATATGCTCTTTCAAAATCTTTTTGGGAAGTTTTCTCTATTTTCATGCTTTTGTCACTTACTGTGGTCTTACTTCGATGTTACATTTGTTATTTTCGTTGCTTATTCTTTATTTATTAAACATGCGATAGTATCTAGACATAACTTAAATTTAACCTTGTTTTCTGATTATCATCACTATTTAATTATCCCCATATTTTCCTGCACCGCCCTGTAGAGACAGCAGCCTCCATCGCCCACTGGAACTTGGTGAAGAGTGTGATGATTCTGTTGGTGTCCACAGTTCTCATGGCTCTGTGCGCTGACGTAGTGGCGGACAACCTGGGCCCCATCATGCGTAAACTTCCTCCTGTAAGTTGACATTGTTAACACCTCACGGTAATATGAAAAATTGTATAAGGAAACTTCCTCCCGTAAGCTGAAATGGTTAAGATCGCACGGTCTGGACTCATAGGGCGTATTCCCAGAGCTTTTAGATCGATCTATCCCCGCGGGGAGCCTCACTAGATTACTGTCAGATAATCCGGCTTAAATGTCCGTCCCGCCTACTACAAGCTGTAAGGGGGTAATTAACTTTCGTGCCCGCTCGGCTGACAGCTATTTAGCGTGAACCCCCAGGGAGTTAGGTCGATCTAAAGTAGATCGATCTAATCTCTGGGAATGGGGTCATAGGCTGTCTGCGCAAGATTGTGCAGGGAAATGCAAAGAATGAAAATGGAAATTTCTGTCCGTGATGTATGAGGAAATGAAATGATTAAGCATTATCAAATAGTCAAATTCTAGAGACTCTTATTTCCTTTTGTATTGAGATTATTTACGGTTATATTAGCGATTTTTCTGCTACCGATGCGATGCTACCGTATCTCCCAGTGTTTTTAATTCGACAATGTTACAGCTGGAGAAATTTCTATTTTACTAATAGAAAATGATTATGTTCGAGAATGTGCCAAATGAAAAAAATCCACGCAGACCTTAAACCAGTGCCAAACATTAACTGAATTTCAGGCGTTCGTAGGAGCTACATTTTTAGCCATCATACCGCAGCTGCCGGAGATAATCAACGGGATGGCCTTTGCCTACAACAATAACATTGCAATGAGGTGTGTGATAAGATTTTCAACTATTTACCTAATTTTATTTGAATCCTTCAGAGGTATAGTTACAGTTAACTGTTAAAACTACAAAAAATAACTCTTATTCGTATTAAAATTTTCTTACTGAGTTGCGGTAAAATACTTTGTTTTATTCGCAAAGTTTCTTTTAACGTGGTTGTAAACGTTATGACCATTTCACCCTTTTAATTCATAATTGTGTTAAATCTATAATTGGGTGTAACTCATAATAGGGTATAACATATCGTATATTGTGTTTCAGTATAGAACTAGGCACATGTATAGCTGTACAGGTGTGTCTCATACAAATACCTGCCATTGTTGCGGTGGATGCCATCAGGGTGAGAAAAGACAACAAGATCAATAATTCCCGCCTACCCTACACACATTTGCAAGGGCAATATCTTATTTATTTGTTTATTTATTTATCTATTTATCTATTGATGCAACCATCTTTTTATCAATAAAATGGCAAAACGCGTTATTATAATAGCAGACACTTCTTCAAGTAAAAGGTGCCGATTATCTGGACACGTATGGCTGAATTACATAACAGAATGACACGCTGCTACAACCAAACTTTAAAACATATATTGAGCAACACTATATTATATCGGTTTGTTCCGTTTTCTTCCAGCCTGTGGGTTTTGAGCTAATTTTTGGAGACATCCACCTGTGGTCTGTGATCTCTACGGTTCTTCTCATCAACATCCTCTTCCAGTCTGGAAAGTCTGACAGCTTCCAAGGTGAGTGGGGTTCTCAAAGTGCGTTCACACCACGGTCCACATTGGGCTAGGTATGGGCATCAGACCTACCATTGATCCAATAACTTAAATGTGCTGTAAACCATCACAGCCAAAGAGACGTATTTCAAAAGATTATCAGTACTCTAGCGTTCTGTATTTTGGCTTACCTCGAGACGTCACTTATTTCACTTTGAAAGAAAATTTTGTTCACAATTTACTTTCCCCTTTTTTTTTTAAATGACGCAGGTGGGTTCTTTTTAATGTAGATCACATTATTTTTGGTTAACGGACATGTCTTGCTTTCATTAATGTCATTTCACTTCGGGGGAAATAATTACCCAATATTTATTTTATACCAATGGACATTACAGTATTTGCAATTTTAATTTATTAAAATATCTTCAATATACACAAGACCCCACCAAAACTGTTTCAATAAATCATCGTGTATTATTTTCTAGGTGCCTCCCTGCTCATCTTCTACGTGATCATGCTGTGCTTCTACTACCTTGGACCCAACCCAGGGGGGATCCACTGTTGAGGACAAAGGGGTCTGCAACAACACCGTGAAATGAAACACGATATTTATATTGGCATCACTGTACAGGGTTTAAACAAAACCAGTTTGCCATTTCAGTTATTATAGACTGCATAAACAAGAAATGGCACAACAACGCAGGTACATGGACGGACTCAAGTGAGGCCGTGATGGACGAATTGGAAGTATCTGCTTGCACACTAGCTTGTCTAGTAATAAGGGTTACCGATAATTTTAGCGTAATGCAGTTTCTGACAATTCAAGAAAAATGTTAATAAAAATGTGTGGTGTATATTTATTTTTGCACCAGCCCAATATGTAAAGTATACATATACATGTAGTCTACAATAATAATAATGATGATGATGATTTTTATAAATAATAATAACCACTTTTCTTGGTATGGCGATATAAACCAGTGTTCTGTTAAACAGTACAGTCACATTCACAAACTCTTATATTGACATTTAAGAATGTTTTCTTGAAAGAAAATAAGAAAATAAAAAGCATACACCATAGATCATCCAAGAATTGCTGAAAAAAAGATTGCGACCCTTGGAACGCTCGGCTATGGTGCATTGTACAACATGGAAAAACAAATGTAATGAAATTAGCAAACTGTAGGGAACAGGATAAGCTTTCAAAACTTGTTACTTGGAACAAATGAGTTTAACATTTTAAACAGCAATGCATGAGCATTGCAAAAAAAAAAAAAAAAAAAAAAAAAAAAAAAAAAATGCAATAAAAAACAAAGCATTTCTCTATTCACTGTGTACAAAGCCACACTTCTGGACTGCACTTTTTTGCCACTACGTTTGGAAAGTAAACCAACTGTTCATTGCGATCTTTTCACCTATCTTACTTGCATTAATAACACTATATATATATATACGTATAACTTACTTTTTCTCAACAAGCATCATTCAAATATCATAAACATGGTGCCTTTAACAATTCATATATATATATATATATAGCTAATTAAAATATGCCACTTGGCCTTTAACCTCCCAATGGAATATTGCAGCATACTTCCACGACTAAAAACCCAAACCAAAAATAGAGAAATGACTCATTACTGCAATACATCAGTATAAGAATCTCACATATTGTTTTCCACCGAGTACTACTAACAACAAATGTTAACAACTATAGTTTTAAAAAATTACCTTAAAATTTAAATATGAACAACTATGTGTACAGTTCCCTACACCTTCAACAGGTATCGTAACTCCTTTCTTGATACTAAATTACAAAAATGTAAATAACATAAAATAAAACTACTTCAATTGCACTGGACAAAGAGTAGACTACAAGAAAAAATATCTGACCAAAACCCTTTTACACAGAGATTGCTATTGCTTGGGAGAACAAATGTGACCAAGTGTCACCACCTTGGAGAAGAGAGAGACAAAATCTGTTCACTAAGTGATCATGATCACAAGCCCAGTGTATCAGGGGCTTTCTAATGTAAAAAAAAAAAAAATTGCACAAAATCAGAAGATAAGATGCACGGTCCAAGCACCAGGAAATACCTTCACACACTGCATGTAATACAAGCCTTACCACCGTGCACTAATACAGTATCCATCTCCAAGGGGTTTCTCGCTAAATTGCCTTCAGCTTAAGCAGCTTAGAGGTCTGGCACACCTACTGCAGCTGCTTAACGATAATTAATTACCCCCTAGCAGCTTCGGTAGGCATCACAGACATCTAAGCCACTTAAGCTGATTGCAATTTAGCGAGAAACTCCTCGGAGATAAATCGATCCACGATAGCATCTGGGAATGGTCCCTTAAACATCTTTTAAGACAACTTGCTTAAGTTAAGTACAAACACCCTTTAAGAAAATTTCCTGTATTACAATTCACTTTCAGGACATTCAGTAGATGGCATCATTTATAACTTAAATGGGTAAGATTTATTCCCACTTCACTTACAGGGTTTTCCTCTCCATCTGAGACCTCAAGGTTGAAATAAACTTCAATTTACAGGGTGTTCCTTACCATTTCACTCCACAAAATATAACTCCACTGTACTCACAGGGTGCTTCTCAACATTCGGCACTAAAGAACAGATCGGTAGCTCCACTTCATTGCACTGTACTAATCAGGGCTCGATTCACCAATGCTTACAGGGGGTTCCACAGGTTTTAATTCGTCTACAGTTACTTGATGGCTGTCAGGATTTTGGTCACCCTCTCTGACTGTCTGTTTATTGAAACTCAATACACCAATATTCATAGGATGTTTATTAAGCACCGATGCTGAAGGATTCTCAGGTTTTTCTTGAGTTAATTCTGAGTCGTTCTGAGGGTGTTTTTCATTTCCTGACATCAATTCACTGGTAATGCAATCCTCAGGGTAAAACTCAACATGTATTTGATTTGCAGAGTGCCCTTTAATATTGAACTCCACTTCATCTACAGGGTGTTCTTCAGCAGCTGGCCTCACTTCATCCACAGCATGCTCTTCAGCATGTAATCCCACCTCAATTGCAGTGTGTTCTTCAGCATTTGGTTCTACCAGAGATGCAGGGTATTTTTCAGCAATTAATTCCTCTTGATTCTCAGGGCACACCAAACTATCTTGTCCCACATTATTACTTGTAGTATCGGCAGGATGCATCTCCGCAGGATTTAATTCTACTGCAGACAGAGGGTATTCTATAAACTCCATACTGCCTTCATCCTTGTGGTACTCCAAAGGTGTATTATTCACTCCACCCTCCCACTGCTGTTCTGGATGTAAAGGCATTTCATTTGCGAGCTGTTCGTCTGCTGTAATTTCCATCTTTTCAACCAAGTTTCCATAATTTTTGAATTCCACATAATTTCCAACACCTTCAAAATGACTGAACTCTCCATCATTCTCCTGTTTTACTTCTACCTCCACAAACACTGGCTCTGGAAGAAAATCTTGGTCCAAAGGTTCTGTTTTAATCACACACACCCTAGAACCTAAGTTCTCTCCCTCTTTCTCTCTTAAAGTTGACGTAAGGACGGTCTGGTTGGTGCTTTGTTGGTTCTTATCTTTGGGGCTCTCTGAAGGTTTGTTGGCTGCTGGTTTAATTTTGGTCTTACGTGCTGGTTTTGTTCTGGAAACAGGCTGCGCTTGGGGTGATTTAGTACAGTTTCTGTTCCTGGGTGAGACACTTGACCTGTCTTTAGTTCTCAGCTTATCTATCACAGTGTCCAATGTTAATTTTCTTTGCTTTGGTTTAGCACCTTTTTTCTGTCTGGGCAATGCAGCAGAGCTGTCTTTTAACTCCAGTGTTTCCTGTCTTTTCTTTGACTTATTACATTGATCTTTCAAAGTTTTGAGACTGGACTTTTTTCTCCTATTAGATGGTGAATTCTCTGCTGTCTGGCTTGCTGTTTTATTGACAGGCCTAAAAGCTCCAATTTTTGCAGCTGTTTTCTTGTAAGTAGTCTTCTGTTTTTCTTGCTTTTCTGTTCTATTTTTACATGTTACTTTTCTTTTTACTGAGCTGACAGTGCCCCTGTTTATATCCTGGTAACCATCTATCACAGTATCACTTAATCTAGGAACAGTAACAGTCACACACTTCAATTCTCTTTTGGCTAACATCAGTTTCTCATGACCTTGGCCCTTTTTTGGGACACGGCCTTGACCTCTTTTCAATACCTTACTTGACTTTAGCTTACTTTTTGATTTACTTGTGTTAAAACTACTGTTGGTCGGGGAGGCATCAGTGATTTCTTGTTGACATTTGTGGTTTTTCCACCCATTCCTGCTTTTGAAGCCCATGTCACATTTGTCACATTGAAACTGGTACGTGTCTTCATGTGACCGCAAGTGGTACTGGTAGCTGTTGGAGTATTTAAATGTCTTCCCACACCTTTAAAAAACAAAAAAATATAATTTTAAAAACATAATGCAACCTTGAAACTTTATAACTCTATGCACTTTACCCAAACAGCAATCCAATTTCCATTAAAATTTGTGAATTTATAATTTGTATGTTAATGGCTGAAAAACATCTTATCTTCTTACCTGGCACAGGTGTAGTAAGTTTTACTGGAGTGAGTCTTGCTGTGACGCCGCAGGTTTGAGATTGCCCTGAACCCTGTGCCGCAGATCTCACAGACATGCGGCTTGTCCCCGCTGTGGACATTCTGGTGGTCCTTTAGGTATGTCCTTGATGCAAAGGACTTGTTACAAATAGAACACTGGTAGAGTTTCTCCCCAGTGTGAGTGCGCTGGTGGGTAAGAAGACCACCTTTGAGGCGAAACTTTTTATTGCACTTATCACATGAATAATTACGCACCCCAGTGTGAGACTGCTCGTGCATGCGCAGCTGCCAACCCTGCACGAATCTGCTCCCGCACTGCTTACACTCGTATGGCTTTTCACCAGTGTGTGTTCTCACATGACGAGTTAAATCAGAAGATGTCCTAAACTGTTTTTGACAAAATTCGCACATGTAAGGTTTTTCTCCGCTGTGATGCAGCAAGTGCAGCTTAAGACTGGAGTAGTCTGTGAAGCGCCTGTCGCACAGATCACACTTGTATGGCTTGCTGCCCGTGTGGATGCGCATGTGACGATGCATGTTGGGTTTGTTGTTGAACTTCTTATGGCACACGCTGCACTGATGTGGTCTCTCTCCTGTGTGGGTTAAGTTGTGTTGCTTCAAACTGCCCAGGTCTGAGAAATACTTGTCGCAGCAGACGCACTGATAAGGACGCACACCTGAAAGTGACAAGTTAAGGCAGATAATTGTATCTTAATACCTATACTATAACAGTGAAAACTGATATTAAATTTACGCTTAAAGAAGAGTGACTTTTATGTAGATTCATGTCTACAAAATTGTGACTGTATGTCTATTGGCAATATGAAAGCAATAAATAGTAAAACAAGGCAGCAAAGCTGTCAAATGTACAGACAAATGCATAAATATAAAATATTTTCATAACTTGTTATGTTTAACTTAATTACCACAAAATAATTGTAACATGCACCATAATTAATCATCTCCAAGCCTAATAACTTATATATAAATGCTACACATATTCCGAGTGTGTAATAACCTTACCATTATGGACACAGCGTATGTGTCTTTCAACTGTAGTTTTTGCTGTGAATGTTTTTTCACACATGGAACACTGGAAAGGTTTGGTACCTATCACAACAAAGATAACATGTCTGTTACAAAAAAACTCAGTAGTCATGATACATTGTTAATGACAATTGTTTGTGTGCAATAAAAACTGCCATAAAAATAATGATGGCAAAAATATTGTAGACCATCAGAACAGTCCCAGAAAACAAATATGAAGGTTGTGTCAAAGTTTATCATAAAATTCACAAAAGACATTATACATGATACTAAATTAATTATTATCTAAATTTTAGAAAATTACACCCACCTGAGTGAGTTGTCTGATGGACTCGTAGGTGACTTTGTTTGTTAGTTGAATACTGACACAGGTCACAGTGGAATTTTCTTATATGATAACTGGAGACTGGCTTGTCTTGGACATCACTGTCTGTAGTGCCATCTGGGGACTCCACTTTAAGAGTAACTGCAACAAAAGTTAAATTAAAAAAAAGGAAATGCAGGGATGGATCCAGAGATATTTTCTGACAGTCTTCCTAATTATCTTTGTTTATCCCTCCTTCATTTTTGACCGTCTTCCAACAGAAAAAATTGGATACCCGACAATGTAAACTTGAAAATCTGACCGTCTTCCAGAAGACCCAGAAGACGGCCTCAATCCGCCCCTGAAATGTGCCTGTGAGTCACACATGAAAGCACAAGAAGCTACACCATAGGGAGATATCATTTAAAATATAAATACATAATATAATCTTGAGCCAAAGTATAAGTCTAGTGAAAGTGAAAATAAACAGAATATGTCTACAGTAAAGAGTCGGCAACTCTAGCACTATCACACAAAACAGGAATCTTCAAATATGTTTGTAATGCTGGGTTTATCCATCTGTAAAATTTTCCAGAGAGCTAAAAAAAAAAGGACTAACGTTCTGCCTCATACTCACTTTGTCTACTCATGTCAGTTTCTAAATCCTTCACCTCTGCCTCTGGTAATTCTTGCTTTACTACCAGGAGAACAGTGCTGTCATCCAGAGCTTTGGCTGAAATAAAATAAATTGATGTTTTGAAAGTAGTAATTCTATCCCTCTGTATTTACAAATATTAGTACATGCATTACTGCACTGTACAGCACTGGTAGAGGTACAATAAAGTACATTGTACTTACACTAATGACTCTAAAGTAAATTAAGTTATCAGTTCATAATCTACAATTAAAGGGTCTTTCTAACACATTATACCTTGATTATAATGTGTGAAATGTACATGTTAATATTTCAAGTTGTTAACCAGAAAATCAAAAGGGGTGTAAATACATGGCTGAGATTTATAATTATTTAACATGCTTTGACTGTCGTTTACTGTACATACTGTACATAATTATAGGAACCACAGACTACTAGTAATCACACAATAAAATCCCAGAATCTGCCCTGTAAAATAAAGCTCAAAACTGCATCAGAAACCACAGACTAAGCACAGTACAATGATTTTCAAGAGTTTGTTTTTGAATGTGTCAAATCACCTTGAGTAACCACAGACTTCACGCTATAATTTCCTTGAGTGTGATCAAAGTGGACTGTGTTCTCATTGTCCCCTCCTGCAGACTTTTTCACCATTGTCTTTTTCCTAATTGCTAAATCTTGCTTTGAATTCTTTTGTCCTCTGGGCAGTTTCTTCTTTTTAGCCATCTTGCACACCCTAAAAATATTGAAATACTGCAGTGATTAAAAAAAAATAATTGTCAGCATCTTAGGAAAAGAAAATACCAAAAAGAATAAATTCAAGTCTTCCCATGGTAACTGTGCCTCCAAAACAGGGTGTTGCAAAAAACAAATGGTTCTTCATCCGAGAGATAAAACAGAAAAAAGATACACCAGTTTTAACTTTAAATTAAAATTATACTCTAGTCTGGGCCAAGTAGAAGTATTGTTCTCTGACCCTTCTGTTTAATAAGTTGTATTTATTTACATAACATGTAACTCAACTGACAGCTAGGATCAATGGGTTACCATATACTTATACTGAGTGAATGCCAGTATACCATGACATTACAGGGTTCTAGTACTATTATACTAATAGTAGTATCCAAGTATCCCAAACCGCACTGTACTAGTACACGTCCCAAGCGGAGCAATGACGTTGAAATAAAGTCTGGACCTACTTTGATTATGGAGACAAATATCTGAAGCAATATTGCATAAGCAAGACAACACACAACTACATTTTCAAGACACTAGCCATGTGATTTTACTGTTCAAATTATACTAATTTTTGTGTTGCTAATTAAAGTAAATCACTTACAGTGTACAGGTAACTCCTTGACGTGGGGATACATGATATATACAAATATTACTCACTGTTAGCTAAACACTCATTTCATGAAATATCATGCGGTCTTTACTTACCTGCCCTGGTGTTCTGGGACCCTTGTAATGTATATTTAGAAATAATAAATGGCTAACAAACGCCAGGTAGGCAGTGTACTCTCTCTTCGTGCTCATTCATTAGGCATTGGAAAGGGAAAATCATGGCGTCTGTTCCATATCCCAAGAAAAGCCTAATTCAATGTTTGTCGTTGTTCTACACTGACTTTCTTCACATGTCACTACTATTATTACGGAAAAGTTCAGATTTTAGTGTCTCGACTCAAAATTGAACCAGGCAGCTTATATAACAATAGTACCTTCAGAAATCCAAAAACTAGTTTTTTTGTGAATTCTTTTAATCCTATTTACCCTTTATATAGCATCATTGGGTTAAACATTGTTGAGAGAAATTTTCTTTATGGTAAAAATATACTTTTTTTATTTACATATACCTGACATCTTACGATAATTTTTCCATTCTTGCCCCCCCCTCAACCCACCCACCCACCCACGCACACATACACACTTTTCCAAGTTGGCATCATTCATGATAGGCCTACATGTATCTCTTTATAACAGTCTGAGGTGAAATGGGCATACACTTTATATCGTCCTCTCTATGCAGGTCAATGTGTACATGTACTGGCAGAAAAGTACTGGTAGAGCACTGGCGCAGTGTGATGCCATTACTTTCACATTTACGCGCCAGGAACTAACGTAAAATTGTCATTATGATAATACAGAATGGCAGTTTGGTGTCTGGTGTATCTTTATGTGGCTATAAATTACTGAACAATAGTGCTCCTGGTCATTATGACCGTCTGTCTGTTTGTTTGTCTGACTGTCTGTCTGTTTGTTTGTTTGTTTGTTTGTGGTTAGAACTGGTAATCAAACTCGTGAAATTTATTTGGAAAAGGCGACAACGTACCAGCACGATAAAACAGCAACAGATTTAACATGATTTCATATCCAATGCTTAGTTTTAAACAAAACCGATGGCTGTATAGTATTTACATGTAAGTTTTTAATTCACAGTTTTTGGTTTGGAATCAAGACGTATAAATACTTGTCCAGTCTGCTGTAGGCCTACCTATTACATATACTTGTTGCGCATTTAAACTAGGTCGCTCTTCGGCCACAGCTGTTCCTTAACCGCAAAATGATGTAGGCCCCTATTTGTACCCCTGTGAGTGTCAATACCACTGTGAAGCTAGATTGTTAACTATTGAAACGTTTTCACGCGATAGCTTCACAGTGGTATTGCTGATATGAAATACATATGAAATCAAGATCGAGCTGGCAATACCAGAATCTAGAATCTAGGGTACCTATTTGACTATATCTTGGCAATTTCTTCTGGTATCTTGGAGTATGAAAGGACTGCCCGTGGCACGTATGGGCCAACACTCAAGTTATAAATTCTTGGGAACCATTTCAACTTATGTTTGATTTGGAATATAGGGTATGTTCAGAATAGAAACTATCGTACTAGCAGGATCGATCTATCTCAGCGGGGATTTTCTCTAAGGCGCAGTCAATGTAATTAGCTTAATTGTCCGGTGCACCCCCTCGTAACTTAAAGTATTTGGGTAAAGTCGGGAAAACTTTGTGTTCCATGATGTTGTTCATGTTGCTTTGTGAGAGGGCGTGCCATGCAGATTGCATTGGTGGCCACATTTTTATTGAAAGTAAATAAAATGAAAAAAGTTCAATTTAAGTTTAAAAAAACTTATAAGCAACATGAATTTTTTCTTTGATATCACTGTCGTCTGTGATTTCTATGAAAACTCTAACTCAACGTTATGGAGTTTGTTGGTTAGGGTCAAGTGAGCGAAATGGCAGATTTTGTTTTTCTCACTTTCATTTTTAAATGATAAAACTGAACAGTTAAAACTTAACAGTAGTAATATTATGCCAAAGTGAAACGTTTGTTTTTTTCGCATCTTGTGGCCTATTATTTTGAACCGTTCCGGGACAAAAACATACTGATAAGACTTATTAATAAGTATAAATGACATCTTGTCTGGGGGCACTCTATAAGAGCCAGTGTGACAGGAATGAAGTCTTAGGAATGGAAGTCCGGGGTCCCACGACACATGATAAGTACAGGTAAGGGTTAGTCAGAATATTAGGGTTAGTATACATTAATGAAACGAATGTCACCTGTACAAAGTATTAGGGAACGGTCTACGGTTCCTCCCCTGTCAGACAGACATTCTTATGCAGAGTTACGCCCACTGCGCTATGCTAAATTGCTTCCCTATGACATTACAGCCGGATATTAAACACAGTTACACGTGCAGTTACAGCTATTTCTTTCGACTGAGAAGCAGCCAAGGTAACACACGTATTAACCTAAGATTATATTTGTTGGCGCCGGTTACAGGTGGAGATCAAGCCTCTCTCTCTCTCTCTTTTTCGTTCACTTGTGTGATACTTGTCAAATCGCGGAAACTTGTAGGTTACAACTGCACCTTTTTTACCATGATTTACGTTTGTAACTTCATAAACGCTGTGACATTTTTGTGGAGGCACATCTGCAGCTTATGACATCACACCGATTAAAAGGAAATTTAAATTACTTAAAAGAGTCGACAGTCTGCGCCGACAAGAGCTGGGTTCTGATAGCGCCGGATAAAGGTAGGTCCTCAGTGGCGGATTTAGGGGGGGGGGTCCTTACCTCCCCTTCGATTTCTGAAAATCTAATGCCCCCCTCTTGAACTTAGAACTTTGGCTAGCTGAATCATAGTTCTAAACCGTACCAAATGGCACCGTTCGCCCTCTAAAATACCATCGAAAAACCCAACGCCAAGGGGAGGAGAGGGGACCCCCCTTCAAATAATCCTGGATACGCCCCTGGGTCCTGCATGTAACATACTACCAGTATTTATATCAGGGGGCCAATGTCATATGCTCTAAACGACTCAAAGGCCGACTAGGAGATGAAGATGTTTCAGCATATGACATTAATCTACTATAAATAATGTTGTAAACAATGTAGTGAGCGAATATCTCAGTCCGCTGACTTCAGACGCGCGGTGAGTAAGATTGAAAACCTTAATGTTGACCTTAGACTCAGCTGTTTACGTGAAAATACTCTTTAACTTTTGCCTCAGCAATGGTGGCGTGTGTCTTTGTGAACTTGATAGATCCCTTCTTGCTAACGCTTTCACTTCAGTGTACAGTATGTTGCAGTACACGGATAGCATGGCGTTTTTAAACTGAAAAACAACCTTTAAAAGCTGTCTACTATTCCAGAAAGACGTAAAAGAGACGAGACACATATAATATCTACACTGGATCAACGTACTGGATTTATACACGTGGGATACCATACCGGGTACACTCACATGTTCATGGTGCGTACCACCGACCCATCCCGCAAAAAACAATGAAGAATTATGAAGGAGGAAACACTGTCTGGGGGTAGGTACATACGCCCACCCAGAACTCTAGGCCTCTAGGAGGGGGGCTGACGGTAATACTGAGAGAGAGAGAGAGAGAGAGAGAGAGAGAGAGAGAGAGAGAGAGAGAGAGAGAGAGAGAGAG